GAGAGCTCAGAGCCCCCTCCAGGGCCTGAAGGGGCTCCAGGAGAGCTGGAGAGTGTCACCATCCCATTTTCTGGAAAAATCCCTTTGCCCGGGTTTCTTCTCCTGGGAAGCTAAGAAGCCTCAGAGAAAAGGAAAACAACAATTATCTGTTTTGCTTCTCCTGTGTTTTGCTGCTTTGGAATGTGTTTGAACATTGTTTATCCAACAGGTCAGTGTTTGATTGGCTTCATGTGAATTNGCCACAAGAATATGCCTCTGCCTTAGCCATCATGAAGAGAGATGAAGGAAGTGAAACTGTGCTTGACATAGCAAAGAAGCTCCGAGCATATACAGATGCTGTACATAGCCCAACACATGCCAGAATCGCAGCGGTAGAAACACGTCTTCAAAAATTAGAAGACAAGATAGAAGAAGGTCACAAGAAACTGAGAGAAGAGATTAAAGAGAGCTTTCTCCAAATCTCAGCGGTACAGATCAGAAGTTCTAGTACCCAACGCAGACGTTCCCCAGACGGCGAGAGAAAGTACATCCCACGAGCTGAGCTGTAGTTCTATTTACGTGATTGTAGAGAAGACATAAGGAGATGGCATAGACAACCTACCTCTGCTCTGGCACAACGAGTGAGACAACTGAAAATTCAGAGAAGAAGTTCCAAAAGAGAAGCAGCTCCAGTAGCCAGTAACCGAACTGTCACATATGATGATAATGACAATATTTTTAATCCCCTTGAAAGAACCTCCAAGACATATGCCCAGAGAAAGAAAGATAACCAAGCTTAGAAAAGCCCTGCCTCTAGCCAAGTAGAGGCTAGAAAAAACCGTGTTTTTTGGACTGTGTAGATTCGTTAGCCTAGCACATATGAACCACAAGAATACAAAGCTTTGGTTGACACTGGTGCACAATGCACATTAATCCCATCAAGACATATAGAGACAGAGTCTGTTTCTATTGCTGGTGTGACAGGGGGATCACAAGATTTTACTTTGGTAGAAGCTGAGGTGAGCCTGACTGGAAATGAGTGGAAGAAACACTCTATTGTAACTAGCCCAGAGGCCCCATGTATTTTGAGCATAGACTACCTTCGAAGTAAATATTTCAAAGACCCAAAGAGACTCAGATAGGCATTTAGAATAACTGCTGTAGAGACAGAGAGTGTCAAGCAGTTGAACAGCTTGCCTAGACTGTCAGACAGCCCATCTGCAGTAAGTCTCCTGAAAGTAGAAGAGCAACGAGTGCCAATTGCCACCTCAACAGTGCACCGCCGACAGTACCGAACGAATCGAGATGCTGTGATCCCCATCCATAAGATAATCCGAGAGCTAGAGAGCCAAGGAGTGGTCAGCAAGACCCACTCACCCTTCAACAGCCCCATCTGGCCTGTGAGAAAATCTGAAGGAGAATGGAGATTGACTGTGGACTATCGTACATTGAATGAAGTGACCCCACCCCTGAGCGCTGCTGTGCCGGACATGCTGGAACTCCAGTACGAGCTGGAGTCCAAGGCAGCAAGGTGGTACGCCACTATAGACATTGCCAATGCATTTTTCTCCATTCCTCTAGCAGCAGAATGCAAGCCTCAGTTTGCTTTCACCTAGAGAAGCGTGCAGTACACCTAGAACCGATTGCCCCAGGGGTGGAAGCACAGCCCCACCATCTGCCATAGACTGATCCAAGCTGCACTAGAAAAGAGTGAAACTCCAAAACATCTGCAATATATTGATAACATCATTGTGTAAGAGAAGACAGCAGCAGAAGTGTTCGAAAAAAGAGAAAAAATTATCCAGATTCTCCTAAAAGCTGGCTTCGCCATCAAGAAGAACAAAGTCAAGAGACCTGCTCAAGAGATCCAGTTTCTGAGAGTAAAGTAGCAAGACAGACGGCGTCAAATTCCCACCGATGTCATCAACAAGATCACAGCAATGTCTCCACCCACCAATAAGAAAGAGACACAAGCTTTCCTAGGCGCCATAGGTTTTTGGAGGATGCATATTCCCGAATACAGTCAGATCGTGAGCCCTCTCTACCTGGTCACCCGTAAGAAGAACACTTTCCACTGGAGCCCAGAGCAGCAACAAGCCTTTGCACAGATCAAGCAGGAGATTGCTCATGCAGTAGCCCTTGGCCCAGTCAAAACAAAACCAGAAGTGAAAAATGTGCTCTACTCTGCAGCCGAGAACCATAGCTTGTCCTAAAGCCTTTAGCAGAAAGTGCCTGGAGAAACTCGAAGTCGACCACTGAAATTTTAGAGTCAAAGCTACAGAGAGTCTGAAGCCAACTATACTCCAACAGAGAAAGAAATCCTAGCTGCCTATGAAAGAGTCCAGGCTGCTTCAGAAGTAATAAGCACTGAAGCACAACTCCTCCTGACACCCCGACTACCCGTACTGAAGTAGATGTTCAAAAGCAAAGTTCCTTCCACTCACCATGCCACCAGTGCTACATAGAGCAAGTAAATTGCTCTCATCACTCAGCGCGCCCATATAAGTAAACTGAATCGCCCTGAAATTTTAGAAGTCATTACAAATTAGCCCGAAAGTGAAAACTTTAGTCTCTCTGATGAAGAGAAACAAAAAGAGACACGAGCTGAAGAAGCTCCACCATACAACCAACTGCCAGCAGAAGATACACAATACGCTCTCTTTACTGATGGGTCGTGCCGCATTGTGGGAATGAACCAGAAGTAGAAAGCAGCTGTATAGAGCCCCACACAGCAAATAGCAAAAGCCACTGAAAGAGAAAGTAGATCAAACCAACTTGCTGAACTCAAAGCTGTTCAACTGGCCCTAGACATTGCTGAGAGAGAGAAGTGGCCAAAGCTCTACCTTTATACTGATTCATAGATAGTAGCCAATGCTCTGTGAAAATAGCTAGAGAAGTAGAAAAAAGCTAACTAACAACGTAGAAGAAAGCCAATTTGAGCTGCTAAAGAGTAGAAAGACATTGCTACCAGAGTAGAGAAGCTGCCTGTGAAAGTCCGCCATGTAAATGCCCATGTACCCAAGAGTAGAACTAATGAAAAGCACCAAAACAATGATCAAGTAGACCAAGCCGCAAAGATAAGAGTGTCCAAAATAGACCTAAATTGAGAACATAAAAGAGAGTTATTCTTAGCTCGATAGGCCCATGATACCTCAAGCCACCAAAGCAGAGATGCCACCTATAAGTGAGCACGAAACCGAAGAGTAGATCTAACCATAAACAGTATCTCTCAAGTTATCCATGACTGTAAGACGTGTGCCGCCATCAAGCAAGCCAAGCGACTGAAGCCCCTCTGGTACGGTGAGCAGTAGTCCAAGTACAAGTATAGGGAGGCCTGGCAGATTGACTACATCACACTGCCCCAGACACGCCAGGGCAAGCGCTACGTGCTGACCATAGTAGAAGCCACCACTAAATAGCTAGAAACCTACCCTGTGCCTCATGCTACAGCCCAGAACACCATCCTGGGCCTAGAAAAGCAAGTTCTGTAGAGACATAGCACCCCTGAGAAAATTGAGTCAGACAATAAGACTCATTTCAAAAACAGCCTTGTCAACACCTAAGCTAAAGAACATAGCATTAAGTGAGTGTACCATATCCCCTACCATGCACCAGCTGCAAGCAAAGTAGAGAAGTACAATAGACTGTTAAAAACCACATTGAAAGCATTAAGTAAGAAATCTTTCAAGAACTGAAATCAGCATCTAACAAAAGCCACCTGATTAGTTAACACCCGAGGCTCTACTAACCGAGTCGGCCCTGCCCAATCTGAGCCTTTGCAGAGAGTAGATAGAGACAAAGTCCCAGTAGTACATGTCAGAAGTTTGTTAGAGAAAACTGTGTAGATCAATTCTGCCTCGAGTACAGACAAACCCATTCGTAGAGTTGTCTTTACTCAGAGACCAAGTTGCACGTAGTAGATAATGCAAAAAGATAGAAGAACACGATGTATACCTCAGAGAGACCTGATTGTTGCATAAAACCTGTATAAATATCACTGTTTCCTAAATGTTATTACCATTGTCTGTGTATAGTTGTATAATGAATGTATCATGTATGTACTTGTAGAATTAGAATTTATATTAGTTTTAGTAGTAAGCAGACGATATGGAAATAAGAAGTAGAATGTCCTGAGTTGACTATATGATGCTTTTATCCCCAATCGTCTCATTCTGTTTATGTTAAATAATAATAAGTTTTGTACCTTTAAGAGTGTTACAGAGAGTGAAGAGAGAAAGAGAAGAAGCGCGCAGTTTTGTTTTTCAGACACTGCACTCCTCCACATTCCTGCTCCTGACTGTGTTGTCTGCAGACAAACAGCGAAACAGAGAGCTCTTCTTTTACTTTTTAGTTAGTGTTAGCTAGCTGAAGCAAAGAAGTTCCCTAAACTATTTTTTTCCCTTTTCTTTAGACCTCTTAGAACTGCTCTAAACTGAACACCCAAAAAAACACCGGCAGCTGCAGCTGTGGCCACCGGGCCAGCCCTGGCCTGCGACAATTCCAGCACTGAGAAACTGATCAGAAACTGAGTGAGCTGCTGCTTAAACCCAGAGTTTTTCTCAGTTTGTCATCTCTTTTAGAGTGGCAAGGGGTCTCATTGTTTTGATACTGTTTTAGTCTTATTGTTTAATAAACAGAAATTTTTTTCCACCTTTCTCCAAAGAAGTATTTTTCTTTCCTCCCAGACCAGTTAGAAAAAGAAGCCGATTAAATCTGCTTTTCCCACCGAAGCTCCTTTAAAGAGATTCTTCCCCAAATTTGCTCTAAACTTAAACAAATACACCCTGTCAGCCCTGACTGTGTCCCTGGCTGCTCCCTGGGCAGGTCCTGGCCGTGGGGAGGAGCAGTTTGTGGGGAAGGACATGCCAGCCCTGACTGTGTCCCTGGCTGCTCCCTGGGCAGGTCCTGGCCGTGGGGAGGAGCAGTTTGTGGGGAAGGCCCTGTCAGCCCTGACTGTGTCCCTGGCTGCTCCCTGGGCAGGTCCTGGCCGTGGGGAGCAGCAGTTTGCAGGCAGGGCTCACCTGAAGCCGAACATGATCTCGTCGTGGCGCAGGTGGGCGTCGTCGTCGATGGACAGGATGGCCTCGGTCTCGATCTCGTCCCAGGGCAGGAACCGGTTGTTGAGGCTGTTCTTCTCCGTGCGCACCACCTGCAGGGGACAGGGACATCAGGGACATTTACGGGGCTGCAGGGGACAAGGTTTGGGGCTGGGGCTGTGGTGGCCCTGATGACTGCAGGTGGCAGTGACATTTACAGGGCTGCAGGGGACAAGGTGAGTCTCGGGTTTGGCATTGCTGGAATGGCTTCCAGGATATTAAAGAGTCTTTTTTCCCAGCCCAACAACTGAAGAAGTTGAGATTCCTCATCTCCGTTTTTCAAGGTTGTTTATTTGCTCTTATCTCATTCATTGTCTTTCTCTAACCTGCTGAGATCTGCCTGGCAGGTTGGTTCGTGGCACACTGACCACCCTTGTGTTAGCTTTTTATACTAAAGTGTTATCTTTTTATACTAAAAACTACCTGTACTTTATTTACAATAACTTCCCAATACCTATCACCTATGTTAGACAGTGAGCTTCTACTCTACACCAATCTGTAAGTGTCACCATCACAGCAGAAGATGGAGGCCAAGAAGGAGAAGGAGGACAGGACATGCCCAGATTCCTCCATCTTGCCTCTTGAACCCCCATTCTAAAACCCCAAAATTCTACTTTTCCACCCTGTGACAAATTCACTAACATTCTACTCAAACTCTTGTGGCTTGCAAATCTTCCCACAAAGTTGGTAATTGTTTCCATGGGCTAAAATCAAAGGCACAGGGGTCTGACTCTCTGCCAAGGTCTCTGAGCCTCCTGCCAGGGTCTGGAATCACCCAGGGCAGGCAGAGGAATGTCCTGGGTTCCAGCAGGTGAGGGTTTGGGGCTGGGCTGTGCCAGCTGTGGTGGCCCTGACAACCTGTGACATTTATGGGGCTGCAGGGGACAAGGTGAGAGTTTGGGGCTGGGCTGTGCCAGCTGTGGTGGCCCTGATGACCTGTGGGTGACAGTGACAT